GCCTGCCGCTGGGCTGCCAGACACCCATACACAAGTATACCATTACCGCGGTCGACAACCATTCCGCCACCTCCGTCACTCACCAATCAACGACACCGCCACCTTTACCACTCACCGATCTTCAACACCGCTACCTCCACCACTCGACAGTCSCAACTCACRACTACCGCTGTCCGCTCTAGTTGTGTACGTCCGACGTCGTACGGTACTATATTGTATCGTTTTACATTTTTCTACATTGTTTCACTGTTCAAGCTGCAGTTGTGTTCGTGGTGTCCGCGGCCGCGTTCCAAATTTAACTCCGCGCGCACGCACGCACGCCGCACGGCATATCGCTAAAACAATAACAACAAAAGACAACGGGTCTATGACGACGGCTGACAAATTATTTTGTAAATTACATTTTTGATAATAATATTTAATAATATGCCGCGGAAGCCTATTCGAGTATAATTTAACAACCTACATTACAATGTYCCGTGTTGTCCGTGGTTCGTGACTTAATTAATATTTTTCGCCAATCCTCCGGTGGTCTCCGCGTTTGGGATTCGTTTGGTTTTGACAGAAATATTATATGATAAGCAACAAWAAACCCATGACTCGTGTGAAAATCGTTATTCGGTATTCGGACGACTTTTCCGTCGTCGAGTTTTYGTCATGATGACAGGTGGACGCGAATACCGAGTGCCGAGTGTCATCGGTCGGATTGCTTAAGTGGTACACTGGTACGGAGCGGAAGAGATTGAGACGATTTCCGTCRTTCTGTGTATAGTTTTACTAAGGATTCGTTTCCGATTCGTCGAAGACAGAGTGACGGGATGGACATCGATGAGCATCAGATGCGGACCGACGACGTCTTAGCCTCCGCAAATCACATCTACCGTTCTGCGATCATAATATAGCCCGAATACAAAGTCCCACGCGTAAGTGCTTCGCATTTAATTAATAATAATCAATAATATAACGATCGTTTGTCCCCAAAGTTTCGCTTAAAAAAAAAAAAATGTCTTAGTCTTCACTCCGACGTTGATGACCAACTACAGATGACACCGTCTTATCCTTAAAACTAACGGTTTGTCATTAAGTAGTCACCAAATCACCTTGTTCAACATTTTTGAAAGGAGTCTAAGATGTTTGGCAGGATTTAGACTCGAATCGCTATGGTGATTTGAGCAAAATCCATATAAATTTGATCTTTGAGTCTGAAGGCTTATTATTATAAATAAAGTAATCATGTGTAATTTAGCCTACTTTTAATGTCTCCTTTCAGCACATTTTTAAACATTGGTAGCTACTTAATAGTATAATATTGAACTGCCCAATTATTGTTTTCTGCATGATTGACAAGCAAATTGGTCTCCTTTCCTATAATATTTTTTTTTGCTTACCATTTGTGGTTATGTATTTCTTCGCAGCTATGCCATTAAAAAAATAATAATAACAATCATACTCATGGTAAGACAATTATTTTTAGTCTACTTTTATGAATAAATAGGTTTTGAATGTTTTGATTATCTCAGAAAAATAAAATCAATTGAAATAAACTTTTATAGTGTTCTTCCTTTGGACATAAAGATACTTAGATACCTAATTTAAAATTACTGAATTTAGCTGAAAACAAACAGAAAAATCAATTAGGTAGTACCTACCCATTTAATTCCCAAAYCAATCTTTTTTGTGTAACTAAGTAATATTATGAAATTTATAAAATATACCAATGTGATTCACTAGCCACTACTGATAATTATTAATTGGTGATATATATGTATGTAACAGTGTTTAAAATGTACCTTAGTTCACTTGTCACTAGTTTTTATCAGTATTTCTTTCTAAAAAAATGTAATCTATTAAAAGGTAAATAATATAAGTATAAGTTCTTACTTTAAACGTAAAATGATAGTGCCTAGGTACAAACACAATTTGCTTTAGTATGTGAACCATATAATTAATCATAATTTATAAATGAGAGGAAACAATAAAAGCACAACAATTTTCAATCAAAGTATGGAACTGTAAAAATATATAAACTCTGTTAATCTTTAGAAACTTACTCTACCATGTTCAAAACAATACCTGKTTGTTACCCTCAGTAAGCCAACCRTATGAATGCTAGCTGTAGTTCCCAGATTTATCTGTATCTATCGTCAAAATGTGGTTTCTAATTCTCCATATAAAATGGCAGACATACGGCTTGCACATGTCTTAAGTCGGCTTTGTGTGTGTGTTTTATAAGTTAAACAGAGTGAATATTGTATTAACTAAGTTTTATCATAGTACCTACAAATAAAGAATATATTCCGTGAGGCATCATATAATATTTTCAATTGCAAGTTTGAGCTATAAGTTAATCTAGAAATTAGTTGGTTTAATTGGATATACACAAATAAAAATACCYGAGTCCAGTTCTCTTTTAGTTTATTTTGATATATACAAGGTACCTACCTATATCAACATTTTTTTTTAACTTGATGATACAAAACATCAATTAGTATTTTCTAAATAATGTAAGTGTTACCATGATATTATGCATACAATTATAAGTTGTGATATCAATAGAGAAAGAATAATAAGAGGAGATAACACGCTTATTTAAGTATACCKCTAGATATATTAAAAATGAAAAACATTATACTGGTATTTTTAAGGGAAAATTTATACCAGATTAAATAAAAAAATGTCTTGAGGTACAACTGTTGTTAGTGGGCTGAATAAAATTGTTATTTTATTATTGTTTACTAATTTAAATGTTATTTAGGCTTAAATTGTTTTCATTATATCTTAATCATTCTGAATGTAACTTTAATCAGCATAAATATTATTTTTCCTCTAATTTATAATCTAGTATTATAATTTATATGCAATACTAGGTATTGCCATAAGAATAAATATTTTTGTGGTCAATTGTTATTATGATGAACTGGGTGATGAACTAATGAACTAACTATATCTTGCAATCAATTGTCGTGCGTTAAATAATTTATCACAAAATAACAGAACTCCATAATATACCTATATGCTACAGTCTATTATTTTTATTTAGGTATTATGAATAATTATCTTATACATTTTAATTAAATGTTATATTTAATACTAATTATTAAAACAAGATAACTTAAAAAAAAAACACTTTATTATGTACCAAGGTTGAAGGTAGGTACATGCCCCTTATATAATATCTCGTATAATATAGTATCTATCTACAGTTATAATAAATATTTCTTAGATAGYAGGTACATGCTATTTTTTATTTTTTATGAAACAATTCTTTAATTATTCAACAGTTGTTGTGTGAACATTTATCATATTTCTTGGCATTGGTCTAGGACTTAATATAAAACTAATGTCAAATAAGAAAATAAACCCTATTAAAGTTGAATAAAAGGTGTTTARAACTAGTGTAAAACTGACACACCTACCTAATATAATATTATAATTTAATGGATGATTAACAAGTTAGTTGTATGTATATGATGTATATACATAACAGCGGACATAACAGTTATTTTAGAGATAATATGAATATACATAATATATTTTTGCATGTACATATGGTTTATATTTATTAATTGTCAATAGTTCACTTATAAAAATGAACAATTAAATAAAATTTGTTTTATGATAAGTATATCATTATATCAAACCTCTATGTTAATTTTACCCACATAACTCACTAATCACATTGTACTTATAAATTATAAATACATAGGACTTAGGAATTCAATTACAAATTAACATCAACCTACTTAAAAATGGTCTTAGTTTTAAAACAAATGCCTGCCTCTAGTAAAAAATAAATATTAATTAAGTCCTTAATAATGATTGTTTATCTTGATTACGTGTAGTTATATGCAATTATAATGTTTATAAATTCAAGTTTTAAATAAGTTATATATATTTAGAATACTTATTCATTTTGAACWATGAAATATTACTTATATAGTTATATATGGATATTAGAATTTGAAAGTGCTTACTTAAAAGAATGTAAATGTTAATTTTGCCCATTASACTTCCTGTTTCCATTTTAAATCAACTAACGAAAATAATTTTAAAAGAATAATATACCTATTACCTATACCTGTTTGATGATATGTTATGTAAACCCCTCCATAAATTACCTATATGGCTTAGATACTTGTTAGTAGGTAAGGCTTCAATGTTACACTATCTGTTATGTTATGATGTTCTGTACAATAAATAAAAACACATACATAGTAGGTATTATATAAATAAATTGATGTATAAATACTTATTGGCCTCAAGTAGTTTCTTCAATTTCATTCTGTTTTATTAGATTTATAAATAAGAATCACAAAATAATATCATACATTTTATAAAAATCAAAATTGCTAATTTAGACAATCAAGATACTAAGATTAGAAGTATATTATTTTTAATTTTAATTATTAAAAGCCAAATTACACGAGAATTTTACTATATTTTAATGGAGTTAGTAGTTAGTACATATTCATGATCTGAATAGAATTTTCMTCTTAATAATTTATTTTGTTGTTACTTAATTTTTAACATTGTTTGACATATTTGATATTAGTAAACAATTCAATTTCATAGCATTTGGGGGAGAGCATCTTTAGTCCAATAACTAAAAAACAAAAACTTTCCTACCTAAACAAAGTATATCAGTTTTATACATTTAAGTGTTTATAATTTAATAATACTAAATCAGGACTTTCCTTGGTTGTCACTTGTCATTTTAGAAATTGATTAGTTTTATACATAGGTAATATATATAGGTATATTGATATTTAGATATAATAATAAAAATTGTGAGTTTTTGTTTTAAAACGTTCACTTTATTTGTATTTACAGAAGACTTCACTGCTAATTAAACCAAAATGTCTTCTCAAGTAGATTATCAATGGTAGGATATATTATTATATATCATTTTATTTTAAATAAATGAATACCTATTTTATAAAATAAAATAAAATAATTCTTTTCAGGGCATATACAATAATGGATTCATCTCGGGTCTCCACATTTTTGATATCTATTCTGTTAATTGTTTATGGCAGTTTCAGGTTAATAAATATTGAATACTTAATACACCTATACATTTATTGCCCCTAACTTTGTATGTAATATATTTATCATCATTTAAAATTTTATACATTCCAGATCTTTAAATATGGAACAGGAAGCCAGAGAAAGAGAAAAGGAAAAATCTAAGAGCTCCAATGGAAGCTCTGTATGCTTGACAGATATTAGTAAGCGAAAACAAGGTTAACATGCTTTAAAATAATTTCATTTCAGTATTTTACAACATAAAGTGTCCATAAAATGTGTGACAATTTTCCATAGATATCTGTTAAAATTAGTTAAAATTAATATTTTTATTTTTCATTAAATTAATTTAAACTTCTTACAATTTTCTGGACTCTAATATGCTCAGAAACTGATGGTATTGTTTTGTAAACTAATTATTATACCAATATAAAGTATAATTGTGATTAATACATTTTTTTTTTTTTGATTTCATAGATGTTCAAACACTGGATACTATGCAAGCTCTGTGTTTGCCTCTGGGAGCTTCAATATCACTGTTAGTCATGTTTTTCTTTTTTGATTCTATGCAAATGTTATTCGCAATATGCACTGCAAGTAAGCTAGTTTAGTATTGTATTGAGTAAATATTTCAATTTCATTATTTCAGTGCATCATGTTATGTTATATTCTTATGTAATAATTTGATTTTACTATTTTATARTTGTTAATTATTCATTTTTATTTAACTTGAGTACTTGACTTTTAATCATAATATAATGGGAGTAAAAAAWAGAAAGTACAGAAAACTTGTGGTTATTTGATTATGTCATACGTGCTGAATTACAACCTGTACATAATCAGGTTTTATTATTTGTTTTTAAGAGGATTAAAATTGTTGATTTATCTCCTCTTGAGTAGGAATCAATTCTTTAACGCCCTCCCCCCCCTATATGAAAATTTTATAATTAATGGTATGGGCTGAGGAATAAGAAGGAAGTTGATGATTTGGAAAATTTGAAAAAAAAATTGAATAATTATCTAATAATTAATCTTTTATTTTTCATATTTTTTTTAATTATAGTACTAGTAAATTAATTAAATTAAACATTTAAAAAAAACTTTATAATTTATCAATTTTATTTTATATTGCTTTTATTGTTTTTCTTGATACGATTTTAGTGAGATGATTGAACTTGGTGGTTTTGAGCAAGTTTTTCGACATTAGGTTAGATACTCGTTAACATAAGTTGTAGTTCATAAGATAATAAATTTGTCGACAATGAAAGATAAGTTATTGTGCATTGCTCAACACATAGTATCAAGTATGAATTATTTTTAGGTAGCACCATGTACAAAGTTTTTGTGTGAACATGCTTGCCGCTCCTCTACCACTCAAAACTAGTTCATCGCCACCCTATCCGCCCAAAACTAGTTCAATGGCCCCCAGTGACACTTCACCGCCCACTGTGGTCTGGAGGGGGGGGTGATATCGCCCCGTTGAGAACCACTGATTTATCATATTATATATTATACATTATACACTTACAATATATAAATTAATAAAAATGTAATTCCAATGCACCAATTGAAATAATGATATGATTATAATTCTAAAAATAGATTTAAATTTGTCGTGAAATTTATACACTGATGATTGACTTTTCACAATGTTTTTCATTTTTTTGCCTGAAGTTTACTAAACAATTGATTATTATTAACTGTAAACATAAGCGTGCGTAGGTATTCTTGGCAGGGGAGGCAATACTTTAGCTAAGGAAGTCCAGACTCCAATCCCCCCACCCGATTTTCTCCAATTGGTAGGTATAATATTATATTTTGGTGTAGAGGAAAATCTCGCAGGGGAGGCAACCGCCTCCCCTGCCTCCCTCGTGCGCACGCTTATGACTGTAAAGTTACTCWAAAAGTAACCCTAAAGTGACTTATGGAGATAAAATTGTAAATATGGGAATTATTATCATGTAGACTTCTTGAAAAATTAAAATTCCATGTTTAAAACCTTATCACATAGATATAAGATCAAATTATACTTCAGGTGGATACAACATAAAAACTTTTTTTTTAATTATTATACCTTGGTGTTATTAAAAGACAAAAAAACATTGTTTACAAAATCTCAGAACAGATTTTTGTCCTTGAGAAATAAAACAAATTATACTTGAACAAAAATAATATATAAATTAGTCTAAACTAACTAAACATTCTTTACAAATACTCTTATATCATTACCACTTATTTTATGCTGTTATAGAAAGTATATTTTAATACTCATCATTATCTTTTTTTGTTTCAGTTATAGCTACTGTTGCGTTGGCATTTCTCCTACTGCCCATGTGCCAGTACATTATTAATCCTTGCTCTGATGGAAATAAGTAAACTTACATTTCAAAACACACTTATTCTGTTTTATTATAATTAATTTTTTTTTTTTAGGATCTCTTTTGGTATATGTGGTCGTTTTACTATGGCTGAGCTGCTGTCTTTTTCAATGGCATTGTTTATAGTTTGTATTTGGATACTGACTGGACATTGGTTGTTAATGGACGGTAAATGCTAAATAGTATACAACAATTAATTTTAAATGTTTTTGGATTTTGATTTTGTCTAACTGTAAATTAAAATAATATGAAATAAAAATTAATAAATTAATGTGTTTCAATAACATGACATGACTGTATTTTTCTTCAATTAWTTAAAATACAATTTACCATTTTTATGTTAATTGTATTTTTAGAATTTGTTTTAATTATTCAATTCAAAATAGTAAGTACTAAATAAATTGTTGTTCAATTTTTATAGCAATGGGAATGGGACTCTGTGTAGCATTTATTGCCTTTGTCCGACTTCCTAGTCTTAAAGTGTCCACTCTTCTGTTGACTGGCCTTTTGATCTATGATGTTTTCTGGGTGTTTTTCTCGTCATACATATTTAACACCAACGTTATGGTCAAGGTGAGTATTACTTATGCAGCTAATAAAAATTGTTAAAATACTTATTGCATTGTATATTAAAATAGGTGGCAACAAGGTCAGCAGAAAATCCTGTCGGAGTAGTGGCTCGAAAGTTACACATTGGCGGAGTTGCCAAAGAAGCACCAAGGTTATCTCTTCCTGGAAAATTAGTATTTCCTAGTATTCATAATGGGCGATTTTCAATGCTTGGGCTTGGGGATATTGTGAGTTATACTTTATTAGTTAGTATTCTGATGAAAAACCATCTATATTGTTTGCTGTTATAGGTCATGCCCGGCCTACTACTGTGTTTCGTGATGCGGTATGATGCGTACAAGAAATCTCAGCTCCTACATTTTGGGGAGACTGGCGTWCCACCTCCTAGACATCTTGGCAGAATAAGGTAAGAGAACAATCTTATTATTAAACTGTAACATTTGTGAAAAATAAAAAAGTTATCATTGATAATTATTTTTTATTTTCTGTAGTTACTTCCACTGTTCATTAATTGGATACTTTCTGGGCCTAGTTACTGCTACAGTGTCTTCAGAAATTTTTAAAGCGGCCCAACCAGCTTTACTCTATCTAGTTCCATTTACACTGTTGCCTCTTCTGACCATGGCTTATTTAAAGGTAATATTTATACTCCCGTTGTCAGTAAACTGATCTTAGTAAATTGTAATTAATTAATTATTATTTTTAATTAAAATTGTTTAGGGWSATTTAAGGAGAATGTGGAGTGAACCATTTATAATACAACAGCCTTCCAAACATATGGATGTATAGTCTGCGGTAGCATTTATTACATTAATGTATATTTATTTTTAGAACCATTTTTGTACAATTTCCTCTTTTAATTATTTTATGTAATAGATCTACATACGATTTGCCCTTTCTACCTGAAGGAATATTAAGGATAAACAATAATAGGTCTTATGTTTTTTGAAAATCAASGTATACTTTTACAAATTATTTCTTCTCCAAAATATGATTTTTTTATCGATTGTTTGTAAAATTTCATCTCCTTAAGTTTCCATTTATGCTCTAATCGATGTCACACAATATGCTGATCAAATATACATAATATAATGTTTATACATTTAAATTTTTCATACTATATAAACTTTTCGTTCGGATGGACTTGTCTTGTTAGTTTTAAATAATGGAGGTGGCCAAGTGTTAAAACATTAAAATAAATCTCTAATTATTATTACTGCCCTTCAAAGTATCAACTATTTATATCCACTGCTTAAAAAATATACATATTTTGATTGTTCAGAAAATTGCTAGATCTGTTTATTATATTTATTATTAAATTTTCTAATCATAATATTTAATTAAAAATGCGTAACAGTTATTGCATTCACAACATTTACGCAACTATTGTTGTTTCCTAGACTCTAATGCATGTAGAAAATATGGTTTTGAGTTTGTGATTTGAAGGTTATTTTTACGATATGAATTTGATTTTTGACAAGGGTTTGTTATCAAACCAAATAATCAACGAAAAGTTTACCTAAGACTGATTTTTTTCTTTTTTCTTTAGTATTATTTTTTTTTTAGTATAATTGAGCAAAATACCTAACTTGTACTATCTGAAATGTGTTTATTATTACTAATCATTGCATTGTATCATATATAATATGTATATTTTAAGGTTTATACTTTATATAATGTCTCACTAAATGTATTTATTTTTGAGAAACTAAATTTAAATATGTAGTTTCCAACAGCATATTATATCAATTAAATATATTTCTTTTCATAATCATTGTTATATTTGATCAATCTTTTGTTAATAATTATAGTAATTTTATTATTATATGTATTATGAATTTCAAACTATCTCTCATCTTCTCACCCTCGAGGTTTTAAGTTAAATTGTCTTTATATTACGTTATTAATTCTMCTACTGCATTAAGTTTACTAAACATACAATAGTACAATTCGCATAAATAAGTACATGTTGTATACATCATATTATTATTATTTTGAAGATAAATTATAGTGTTTTATACATTGTGACGTTTCAAATACATCAAAAGAATGCCTTTTTTTTAACGTAAAATATAATTGCCTCACTATAATGTTCTCTTTAAATAAGTTAAGYAACTCATGCCACTGTTTTATTTTGTACCCTTTTTTTGTGACTGTGATTTTTAAATAATAACTATAGGTAATTCACTTTTGAAATAACCGACAAAAGTAGTGTAAAGTATTGATTATTAATATTTTTTCTACAAAAATGTATATTATATATAATATTTTATATTWTACCTGATTATAATTAACTTTAACACTATATTATTACTAATGTTAATGCTAATAATGAAAAAGAACATTGTTGCTCTTTGAATGAAAATACATCTGAATAGATGATAGGTACACATAGTACCGAGTAATAATTTTGTTTTGTGTTTTTGATAAATATTATGTATGTCAGCCATAGGCCAAAACAATTAATGATAAATTAAAACAATTACATGTGATAATATTGTTCTATTCTAGAAATAGTTTATAATTTTTTACAAGTTTGTGTAGTCGTGTAGATTACCAAACAATCTTGTGACTCACAATTACTTAGAATTTGTAAATTATTATTTTTTATTTTATTTTACTTTCTTGTTACACTGATATTATATTATATTAATAAAACTTAAGTGATGTTTTACTGAAAACAATTAATGTATTATTTTTAATTATAAATGAGATATTATCAACAAAACTCAGGAGAAACATGATTACAACTAGCTCGTAACAATATTATTCTCTCAAGGAATAAAGTTAGAGGCAAAGTGGTTTTGTTTGTTTCTGTACCTCTGATTTGATCTCAAATGTAATTAACAATATAAATAATTATTGGAGATACTGACATATTTACTAAACACGTTCTGACTATCATTTAGCTTAAGCACGGTTTTTCTACCTCACCATCTTTATGGACATTTAAGTCTTGATTCATGAGCTGGATAGAGTGAACAGTGGGTGATTTATACCTGAAAGTTTGGGCCAATTTAAACAATGTATTAGTGCTTTTAATAATAAATTAATAACTGTATTTTATGACTAAGTAATAAAATAASGTTAGAAATACCTAACAAAGTTTAAGCAAAATAACTATTTATGAATTTTATTATCAACCCAACATTAATTGTGCTGCATTTTTTGAATCTTTGGAGTTAATTTTTTTTCCAGTAATCCCCCGAAGGGGTTACAAACATAAAATCAAATAKGTCTTAAGCTTGTGGAACCTTGGCTGAGGTCTTAATTTGGAAACGTATAGTATGTCTCCCAACCTCGTATGTTTTAAAAAGATAAAATTCATAGCCTGCTACAATCAACATCAATGTAATATTCAATTTATTTACAATATATTCAACAGTAATCTTTAATATTTATAAAATATGATATGTGTATACAAACAATTTCATAATGGGATATTGTCATGACATTATGCACTCATTGAACATAGCMGGGAACCAGTATGAGAATTCACCGTCGTTTTGACTGTCCACCCAGCACAGGCCTTCAATCACCATTTGACTGATGGCGTTGACGGCTCTCGTCTCTTCCCAATTGAGTTGCACTTTTAGGGATGAGAGACTGATGCAAGGGCTGCCAGAAGATGACAGCAGTTTGAGTACAGCTGTCTGATCCATGCTCAGTTCTCCGGGCACAGACTGCACCATGTACTGGCCCCTGCCGACAGGTATCACACAAAAACCATTGCCAAATATCTTTAGCTTCTTAGCGGCACATAGTAGGTCGTCAACCGTGATCTCTTGATGCTGAATATTTCGTCCTCTGGCTTTTATCTAGAAAACAAATGATCAGTCGAGTGATCAGTTTAAATGGAAGTTGTGCGATTTAGAGGGGTAGGTATGATTTCGACAAATAAATTATTGTCAAAGAATCCCAAAATAAATAAAACATCTTAAAAATAAAGCACTCACCAGACGATCTCTGAGCTCATCCAACCCAATGATACCACCATTTTTGTAACTGGTCGCCATGCACACTTCGACAATTTGAACGGCCAATTCATAGTAAAAATCACCGATACCCAGGACGGACCAAAAGCCTTTTCCGGAGGCCAACGGATCGACACCGATTGACGCACACATTTCTTGAAACTGTCGCCTGAACTGAGAGTTCTTTTTGATTTCGTTTTTGTACTTAGTGGCAAATTCCTCCAGATTTCCGCGGAACACTTCCATTTGTTTAGTCATCTGTTCAAACTGATTCTCTTGAATCACCGTCCCTTTGTCTTTGTACTTTTCTTGTTCCAATTTTTGTTTTTGAATAGCACCGACGCCGGCTCGCCGCCTCATTTTCAGAAAGTAGCGCTTGATATATAAATGAATCACTCTATAAATGTTTCTCCACGACTCGATAAAAAKTATAAATACCACTCGCTGTTTAGGTCCGAAACTAAGTCGATAACTTTTGACATGTACGATTGTAGTTTTGTCGTCTTAGGTCACGAAAGAACACAAAAATACGAACATTTGACATTATCACCAACATGATGGGTATCCGACCGAACCAGTGTAGTTTGTAGACAGCCAGACAGGCCCAACAGTGAGAGAAAGTAAGAACTTAGGAGTGACGAATTTTTTCGATTTCGACAGAATGAACGAGTGAAGTACTGAAGTTCACTGCCCACTGCCCAGTGCCCAGTGGCCAGTGCCCATATCAATTATCAACGCGGCCAACAAATTGCGTCGTCGTAGGTATGTCGTATGTTGTCGCCTGCCAAGCAGCTGCAGCCTGCACTTTAATCTTTTTTCTATGGCTGCAGCCGCGGTAACAACTGTTATCAGTCGTTATCGCTATCTGTTATCACAAATCGCCGCGGCCGGCTCGTCAGTGAGTAGTCGTCAAGTGTCTTTTTTAATAGTCGCGCCGTGCTGCCGTCTTTGACTCTTTGTAGTTTGTTCGTCGCAATCGACGCAATCGACGCTATCGTTCACTCGTACGTTAATTTCTCCGTCTGTACCTATTACAATATTTACATATTATCATAATTCATAATAGTTACTCGTCAGACGTAAAAAAACTATGTTCTGCTTCATCGCGACTCGTGCGTGTAGGCCATGGTCATCAATTTTCGGGGCCGTGTCCAAACGTCAAGGCCTAAAAACGCTGAGTTCGCTTTCCGCGGCACAATCGCAGAGTGGCATGAAAAAGCGCGTCCAACGCCGAAAGCCGGCAATGGTGGAAGACACAGGTCAGCGACAAGGTGTAAGTCGTCGTTATTTTTAGTATTATCCTCAGGAGGAGGCAATTATACATTTATACTTGTCCTGTGGTCTTCGCATAGGCGGAAATCCATAGAAATTTCTGGGAGGGCTAAGTTAACTGAAAAAAAAAACTATATTCAATTATTCAAATGAAATCACATTTCACATGAAACCTGACAAAATGTTGGGGGGGGACTATTATAATATTTGGGGGCTTAGCCCTCCCCCCACATTTCCTCCTATGGGTCTTCGGTCGGTCCTAACCCTAACCACTGCTCGGATTAGAATCATTTACGTAAGAAAGGTCAATCTAACAATTTCAAAGCTGCAATTCAACACAGCAGAACTGTGAGTGGTTTTGCCCATCCCATATTAACTTCCAGGCATCAATACATTTGTAASCTTCATAATTTGAATTAAACATTTTAAAATATAATCCATTTTAGTGAACCASGAGGATTTATGTTCCCTTAAATKTACTCATAAATTTAGTAAAAAAAAAAAATGTGCTGCGTAGCTCTATTCCCCTGCACAAGTRTTAATTCAAACTCTGGTCCTGGCACGAAATCTWCCTGAATATTGACTGACCATCTCTCGTTCCCACTTACAGCTCAAAAACAAAAAAAAACTATTTCTACCGTTTGCGAGGTATACTCACACTTAGRCACTTAGTACTTGTTACCCTTTGTACTTTATACTCAAAAGTGACAAAGTGAATAAATTAGCAAGGCTTCTTCTTTGGTTGTCACAACCACTCATCTAGGTACTTTGCAATATATTTAATAACTGATAGCTCATAGGTATAATGAAATTAATGAATTCAATAAAGACAAACTTAAGAATGATTTGATAAGAATTTTAAGAAGGATGCAAAATATTTAGTTATTACTTATTAATTATTATACAGAGTGACAGAAAGTAGAGTTCACATTCATTTTTAATCAATAATGGAGTTGTTCAAAATCTAATTTTTAAAATTTTTAAATATTGGTATCTATTTTAAGATCATTTTTTTAAATACTCTAGGTGTTATTTCTACAATACTACGTAAGAAGTGTCCTATATGGAAATACAAACTGCTGTTTTTCAGATGAGAATAACAATAGGGTTTTAATTAAAAAAAAAAAAAAACAAACATTTTTGTAGTTTCTAAGTAGTTCGAAAAATCTCCAGAATTTGAATAAATAGGGATGAGCATTTGGATTTTGGATAATTGCCCACTTTGCACTAAACAAATTTGAAAGCAATGCTGTGGTAACCAATGGCCAATATTGGTATAATTTTAAAACATACATTTACTTTCTATAAACAAATTGAGTTAATATTTTATTCCTTCTTAATTCTTATTAACTTTAAACTTTTAGAATTAAATATATTATTTTAATTGTTAGCCACTAATTTATAACTTGACKTTCTTAACGTTRASTTWWAACTTGGGTTATTTCTTTTAATTTATTCGCTGCACCTTTGTGACACTATTAATAGTATTAATTATGTTGGTTGTAACTTATATGTACCATATTAAAATAATATATCATCACACAATTTACACGTACTTGACGTATTCGTAGTATTGGTGYGTGACGGCGTTCTCGACTGCTGAAGAGTTTCGCCTGGAACAACTGTCGGCGGCGCTGTCCAAGACGAACATGTACGAGCCCACGTGCCTGTACAGCGGTTCCGACGATACCGATGGTGAGCGAGATCACGTCTTGAAACAATTTATTATTGACTGTGTCGCTTCAATGACCAGTGGTGTATTTGAGAGGGGAAACCCCGCTCCCAAATAACTAAATCAAATACGTCACTGACAATAACAATATCATTCATATTCGATGTAAACGCATATTATGCAGTTTCTTCATATGTAACAAAATTTAGGTTTTGWAAATMATGTCATACATATGGCTCATTTCGCGTTTTGGGGACATTCCCGTGGCCTCCTTAATCCCTTGACTTGAGAATATGCAATTTTTTTTGGTGGGGTCACATAAAATCAAAAGTCTACCAATACAAACCACGAACCCTTGATAAATTGAGAGA